GCTCAGCGGAGTGTCGCGCAGACGCTGTACTTGCCATGCGTGGAAGCGCCGAAGACTTAAAAGACCAGTAAGGAGCTCGGGAGGGCGGGTGGGCCCTCCGGAGCACCGTACCATACTGGAACGGTATCCGGTGCTCCGGGCAGGCTCCGGTATGCCCCTACCGGGGAGTACCACCTGCAACCCACCACTGCTGTCTACCTATAATTTTTTCAACTGGCACCTCCATCCGCCCTGCCAAATCAATTCCCAATGGAGAAGCTCAACTGTGTCCTTGTTTGTGTCTCTATATCGGGCCAAATTCGGGATTTATGACACTCTCCTGGAAGGGGGGGGGCAGGGGGGAAAGGAAGACAGATAAACCAAAGCAAAGGTTTTTGCCTCTTGGCTTCCCGATAATATTGGATTTTGATTTATAATCAACTTATCTGGCTTGCAAGGCTTGGCGGACATTTACGAAAGGTAATAACTGTAATCAATAAATTACAATGGCAATCAATTGAAATCACCAAGTTTTCCGGGTGGGGTCCAGCCCAGAGTTAAAAGGAGCCTTCCTTCAAATTTCCCTGCATGGGAAATTCACTTTGTGGGATGCCTCAGGCCACAAATTCTGACTCCTGTTGGCTGTTTGTCACCAAACTTTCTTTTTTTCGTCTTCATCTTTTGATCTATGGCAGCGAGTGCTTATTTTATCCCCAAACATACGTTGGCAATAGGTGCATCAAAGTCTCAGCGTAATCAATTCCTTTGCAGAGAGCCCAATAAATCTGGAGCGAACAATGGCTTTTATGTCTGGGAGCAGCAATTTAATTTGAGGGGTGGGCTCTTTCTTTCTGGGCTGGGGGATCTTGATGGGATTTCTTCCTTTTAACGCAGAGTAGGTAAACTCTATTTACATCAGGTATATGCATACTCACCCATTCGCTATTAAAAATGGCAGGAAAAATTATACCCTCTCTATCTGGTGTCAGCCAGCAGTAGAATCTGGGGTGGACCTTTCTTGGCTGTAATTACTACAGGTTTACTCCTTGACTTATAACAACTGGAACCAGAATGTCAGTTGCTAAGCAAGGAGGTTGTTAAGTAAGTCACAGCCGATTTCCTTTTATTTTTCTTTGCCATGATTATTAAGCAAATCACTGCAATTGTTCAATGATTCATGCAGTTGCAAATAGCAATAGATTTTTATATACCTTACTTTTATATACCTTATACCCTTATATTTATATACCGCTTTACAGTGCTTTCCAGCCCTCTCTAAGCAGTTTACAGAGTCAGCCTCTTGCCACCAACAATCTGGGTCCTCATTTTACCCACCTTGGGGAGGCTGAGTCAATCTTGAGCTGGTCAGGATTGAACTGCTGGCAGCGGGCAGTGAGTTAGCCTGCAATATTGCTTTCTAACCACAGGGAAGCAAGGAAGCAAGAAAAGAAGGGAGGGAGTAAGAAGAGGAAAGGAAGGGCATTAGCAATAGCACTTAGATTTATATGCCGCTTCACAATGCTTTCCAGCCCCCTCTAAGCGGTTTACAGAGTCAGCCTATTGTCCCCAACAATCTGGGTCCTCATTTTACCCACCTCGGAAGGATGGAAGGTCTGAGTCAACCTTGAGCCGGTCAGGATTGAACTGCTGGTGTGTGGGCAGAGTTAGCCTGCAATACTGCATTCTAATCACTGTACTACAATGGGAAGGAAGGAAGGAAGGAAGGAAGGAAGGAAGGAAGGAAGGAAGGAAGGAAGGAGAGGGAGAAGAAAGAAGGAAGGAAAAGGAGGGAGGAAACAGGAAAAGGGAAGGAAGGAAGGAGGGAGGGAGGGAGGGAAGGGAAAAAAGAGCACTAGTACTAGGCTTTAGATTTATATACTGCTTAACAGTGCTTTACAGCCCTCTCTAAGCAGTTTATAATGTCAGGCTATGACCTCCAGCAATTGGAGCCCTCATGTTACCGACCTTGGAAGGATGAGTCAACCTTAAGTCGGTCGGGATTGAACAACAGACTGTGGCAGAGTTAACCTGCAATACTGCATTCTAGATAGAGTGCAACCATGGCAAGGAAGGAAGGAAGGAAGGAAGGAAGGAAGGAAGGAAGGAAGGAAGGAAGGAAGGAAGGAAGGAAAAACAATAGCACTGCTAGCAGCCACAGCAGTCAGCAAAAGTAGCCTGCAATACTGCATTCTAACCACGGCGCCACCTGGTGATCTGGTGATCCGGTGATCCCAGTTGCTGCAACTGTTGTAAATACAGTCAGATTGCCAAGTGCCCAAATTTTGATCAGGAGACCATTGGAATGCCAAGTCAGGTCCAATCGTAACTCCTGGTTGAGCAGGGGGCTGGACTAGAAGACCTCCATGGCCCCTTCCAGCTCATTCATTCATTTTTTTTTTAGTGCTATTGTAATTTCGAAGGGTCACAAAATGAGAGGTTGCAAGGATTAGCTGTAGTCCGAGAGGACTGCATTCACTTAAAAAGATAAAGGTAACGGTTCCCCTCGCACATATGTGCTAGTCGTTCCTGACTCTAGGGGGCGGTGCTCATCTCTGTTTCAAAGCCGAAGAGCCAGCGCCGTCCGAAGACGTCTCCGTAGTCATGTGGCTGGCATGACTCAACGCTGAAGGCACACAGAATGCTGTTACCATCTCACCAAAGATGGTTCCTATTTTTCTACTTGTGTTTTTTACATGCTTTTGAACTGCTAGGTTGGCAGAAGGTGGGACAAGTCATGGGAGCTCACTCCGTTACGCGGTGCCGGGGATTCAAACCACCGACCTTTCTGATCGATAAGTTCAGTGTCTTAGCCACTGAGCCACCGCGTTCTCCTTTCACTTACAGCTTCTCTAAAATGTAATTGAGACAGTAAAATTTCCCTCTTACCTGGTTCCATAATCTGGACATCGGACGCACAAAGCTGCGTACTTGTTTAGGAACGGAAGGACGTAATCCTTTCCCTGGTCCTCCATTGCAGGGTCCGGAAGCTGACTGGATCAAAAAGAAGCCGAATCAGAGATCATGGAACTGAAATTCACCACTTCCTGTGCTTAGATGGGTATTTATTGGTGGCATAGGGGTAATCTTGTAATTGGTGCTATGGCCTACAGGTGGAGCTCTCGCCTCACAACGAGGAGCTCCATCCTAGGTAGAAGCTGATTATTTCTCTGTTTGGGCACAATGAGAATATAGCTGCTGCTAAATTCCGTATTGCCAACAGGAAGGGCATCTGGCCAATAAATACTCAGTTTCATTCAGTTGCCCCAACTCCACCCCAAAAGGGATTATGGCAGGGATGAAATTCAGCAGGTTCTGACAGGTTCTGGAGAACCGGTAGCGGAAATTTTGAGTAGTTCGGAGAACCAGCAAATACCACCTCTGGCTGGCCGCAGAGCCGGGTGGGAACGGAGATTTTGCAGTATCCTTCCCCTGCCACGCCCACCAAGCCATGCCCACAGAATCGGTAGTAAAAAAAATGAATTTCACCACTGGATTAACAGAGTCATTAAATGATGGGGAAAAAATTAAGAGCAATCTCGTAGTTGTTTACTGGAGACACCAGTATAGGTAGTCCTCGACTTACGACCATAACTGAGGCCCACGTTTATGCTGGTAAATGAGGAATTTGTTTGTTTTGCCCCATTTTATGACCTTTCTTGCCCCAACAGTTACGTGAATCGGTTCCACCACAAAACCGCGGTCGACTAAAGCGCGCTCGACGAAACCGCGTACCTGACGTCATCACAGCNGGGGGGGGGGCGTGCAGGCAGCAATAGGCAATGGAAATCTCTGCCACTTGAAACAGCTGATGGTTGGGAGGCCAATCCAACCGACCATCAGCTGCTTATGTTAATCAAGCTGTGCTGAAGCTGAAATGGGCTGCTTGCTGCAAGGAGGCAAATTGCTGGGAGCCAGAGGCCGGCGGGTGGGCGGGGTTACATTTGGTGTTTAAGATGCACCCAAATTTTCACCCTCTTTTAGCCTGTGTCCAAAACGGGCCATATGGGGACTCCTGGGAGGGGACAGGTAGGCGGGACCAGCCAGGAGTGGGATTTGGGGGTTCTCCGAACTGCATAGAATCTTAGCTAGAGGTTCTCTCGAACCCCTGTGAATCCCCAGCAGCCCAGCCCTGGGGGCCCGTACCCCTTTTATATATTTCTCCCTTCTTTTCCTGCTTCAGACTCCAGAAAGAGCATCGCTCGATCTTTAAAGTAATTTTTAAAAGCAACCCCAAGGAAATTTGGAATAAACGTGATTCTTGATCGACAAGTCGAGGCCCTAGAACAAAACAAGGCCAAACCACAAAACCTGGTTTTGTCACACCAGCTTTTGTTATATGGCCAGGAAAAGAAGGAAGAAACAATGATCTGATTTTAAGGATTTTTCCATCGGTCCAATCACTGCGAGCACAGAGAATTCCTCTTATTCTTACAGGCACCTCTGTTAAAAAAAAACAAAACCCAACCACCCCACATTCTATATAATCACAAAATGCTTACAAATAGCTAATGCTACATTAAAAGATAGCACAGCATTGCCGATACTAAATGGTGACTTTGTTTTCCACTCTGTCATTTCGTCGCTTTTGCCTTCCAGCTCTCGGCAGCCAAAGGAAAAGAGGAAAAATAGGAGTGTTACCATACATGATTCTCCAAAGTTCTTTGGGATTTTCATTAAGCGAGTTAAATAATTGTGGGGGGATTTTCCGCTCCAAGGAGATATACGTGCTTTTTTTTTTCCTCCCCAAAACCAGCACAGATCCTTTTGTGCAAAAAAAGAGCTTGTTTTTAAGATAAGAGTCTGCTTTTCCTGATTCAAATGCTTCTGTTCTGGATTTTGTACAGATGCACCATAAAATGTGTTTGGTTTTTTTTCCCCTTGTCCTTCCACGAATACTACAGTGATTCTAGGCAACGTAAAAATTGGATCTTCTCTCTTGAAATGCTGACTAGGTTCTTGCCTTGACAGACCGGCAATTTGTTTTCTTCTTCTTTTTTGCTTCCTCCTTTCCAATTCATCCGCAGGACAGTGATTATATTTGCAGCTGAAAGTGGTAAGTGCTGCTTTTCCACTGGGTGATATCAGCATTCAGCATGGCCCGTTCGGTGAAGGTGACGTGTCCTTCCCCGTCGACGAGAATGATGGTGTTCGCTCTGAAAAAAAAAAGGGAGGGGGAGGGACAAGAAATTTATTTATTTATCGGCACAGGTACAGGCGGTCTTGACTTACAAACAGTTCCTTTAGTGACTATTCGAAGTTACGACTCATGATTCAAAAATTTTAGCAACCGGTTTTCTGTCTGGTTGCTGGGTGGGCGTGGCCATGGCGGGCGTGGCCTACTTGCACCATGGCAGGAGGGTCATTTATGCCCTCCCCAGGCTCCAGAGATATTTGTCGAGCCTCCAGGAGGGAGAAAACTCCTCCCTCCCTGGGTTCCAGAGGCTTGAAACGGGCCCGTATTCAGACTTCCTGTACTTCTGCTAAGCCCATTTTTCTCCCTACCCAGGCTCCGGAGGCTTTCTTCAAGCCTCCGGGAGGGCGAAAACGACCTCTCCTGGGCTCCGGAGGCTTGAAACGGGCCTGTATTCAGACTTCCGGTAGGCCCATTTTTCTCCCTACCCAGGCTCCGGAGGCTTTCCTCAAGTCCTCTGGGAGGACAGAAACGGCCTCTCCTGGGCTCCGCAGGACCTCGGGAGGCTGAAAATGGGCTCGTTTCTGGACTTCCAGGAGACCCGTTTTTCGCCTTCCCAGAGTTTCTGTGCAGGTCCTGCATTTACCTGGCATCCAAAATGGGCCGTGTGGAAACTCTTGGGAGGGGAGGGGCAGTATGGGCATGGCCAGCCAGTCATTGCAACTACCGGTTCAGCGAACTAGATGTAAAATGAGCATTCAGTTTGCCCAAACTGGTCCAAAACCATCTGAATCCCACCCCTGCTTATGACCGTTTTTCACACTTGCATCCTCGCCGTTACCTTGTAGGTCATCTAGTCCAACCCCGCACCCAAGGAGGAGACCCTACACCAGATGGCAGTCCAGTCTCTTTTTGAGAGCTTCCAGGGATGAAAGTCAACAGGGAAGCCAGAGTCACAAAACGACTAACAATGGCTGCGATTCACTTAACAATGGTGGCGAGAGAGGTCGTAAAATGGGGCAAAATTCACAAATGTTTTGCATATCTGGGGCTCCATTGTGGTGGTAAGTCGAGGTCTATCTATATTATGCTGTTTTTAGGACACTAAGCAGTCCACCGCAAGATATATATATATATATACACACACACACACATACACACACACACACATAATATATATATATATATATATATATATATATATAT